TTGTCAAATGCACCTTTTGACTTTATATGCAACATGTAGGGATAAGATGAGGTGTTCTAACTCGTTAGCTTGCAAGGGCTGTAAGAATGATACCCTGCTCTGACGATGTCAGTGAAATAAGTCGAACAATAGATGGCCAAGAGGAATAAGCCGTTTTCTTCTAGTAGGATCAACCTTGGAATCTTCTTACCTCAGACGATCGATCGAGCTGGAAGTGTGTTCCGCAATTAAAAAACAAAAGCCATATAAACACGAAGAGCAGCGAATAGCTTACCTTGTTACTGCAACACCACTTGCAGTAGTTGTAATAAGACCAGGCGTGTTAGCCAAAGAGACAGAAATGGCCTGTGTTGCAGACTGATGTTGTTGTTGTTGCTGCTGAAGCAATAACTGCTGTTGACGTTGTTGACTTGCAGCAAGAGAGGAGTCAGTTTGCTTATGAAGCTGTTGCTGATGTTGCTGTGCTTGTTGTTGCTGCTGTTGTGTTTGTTGCTGCTGCTGTTGCACTTGATGTGCATGCTGTTGCTGATGCTCTGCCGAAGCAGCAGCAGCAGCTGCAGCTGCTGACAAATGCGCTGCAGCGGCAACAGCGGCAACATTGGCTGATGCGCTTGCAGCTGTGGTGGGATAGAAAAGACTGAGACTAGTGGGCTGCTGCTGATGATGATGATGAATCTGCTGTAGCTGTTGTTGCTGTTGATTTTGCTGAATATGGTGTTGATGTAGAGGATGCGTCTGTTGTTGATGATGCTGAGGTTGCTGCTGCTGCTGTTGTTGCTGTTGTTGATGGTGGTGGGCAGTGAAGGCTGAGTGTGCAGAAAATTGACTACCAGAAGGTTGGTGCAAATATGCTTGGTAGGCGGCTGCTGCGGCAGCAGCCTGTGGATGGAGGAAAGCCGGTTGCACGGATTGGGCTGTATAAATGAAGGGCTGAGATTGATTATGAATAAGAGAGGATGCTGGTTGAGACTGCTGTTGCTGCTGCAATTGATGTTGTTGTTGATGTTGTTGCTGCACGCCATTCATCGCCATGGCTGCAGCTGCGGCAGCGGCAGCAGCATATTGTTGTTGCTGTTGTTGCTGGTGCTGATGATGCTGTTGTATAGTCTGATAGTGCTGCTGCAGTTGTTGCTGATGCTGCTTCTGCTGCTGCTGTTGGTGATGATGCGCCTGTAGCTGTTGTTGCTGTTGTTGTTGTTGGACTGCTTGTGTTTGGGCTTGGGCCTGAGCCAAGCCAGGTAACACTGAGAGACTTGAGGCCTGTTGCATCTGACCTGAGATAAGAGCAGCTGCAGCCGCAGCCGCGTGTGCGGGAGTCGTTACGGCCGCGGCGGAGGCAGAGGATGGATGTGACACCAGATGGGCGGAGGCAGAGGCCGCAGGGCTGGGAAATGCAATACTAGCCGACTGGAAAAAGAGGCCCAGTGAAAAGATAAAAGCAATTATTGTTTCATATTTATTAATATGGCATTCTAGAAAGGTATGCATCCACACGAATGATTAAATCGACATATAAATAGAGATAAAAATACAAATTAAGATTGTGTAAATGAATAGGTAATAATATAAAAATACATATGAAATGTAGTTTTTAGTAGTCTCGAGACTCTACTTATAAATTTAAAATATAAGAATATAAGCAGTGTAGTCTTGCAATAGTGTGGAAAACTTTAGA